TGGCTCTTCTCTCTAGTTACTATGGTCGAGCTGTGCATGTTGCTGAGAGCAGCCCCTCTCTGTAAGTTAGCTATCCCTGTAACTGGGGTACTTGACCTTCTGTCACCTGCATCAGCAACTTCTCCTGTCTACTAGGTCATTCCCACTACATACAAATCTGTTAGAGATCTCCCACCAACAACCAACCACTGTCTCCTCCCTTGTCCTTGCATCTCCCTCCAACTACTATTAACTTCTCTGTGACTCCTCTTTTTTTTTAAGGTTTATGCCATAGGGCGCATACTCTCACCAGAAGACAGAGAGACAGTGAGAGGGAAAGTAAGAAATCACCCCAGTGGAAATGGCCCATGCCACAATCTCTTCTCCATTCTCTTATTGGGTTTTTCGGCACACATACACATGTGCCTGGTGTGAATTTCAAGCTGATGGATCTGCAACTCAAACCACAATTAGCCCTACAGGAGTCCAGTGCCTTAAGGACTACACAACCACTGGCCTCCTCTCCGTGACTCTTTACAAAAAAACCTTTTCTTCAAAGTTGTTTCAATACTTGCAGTTATCCTATTCATCTTCTCTCATTCTCTTTTGAATCCACTTCAAGGAGGCTGTCATGCTTGGGACTTGTCTCTATGCTCATTTAATTGATTGTATCATCCTATCTCTTGACTTTATCTGCTATGTATATGCTAATAACGTCCAAATTTAAATCTCCCAAGGTTGACCTCTCTCTCTTAAAACCCGTATCTATATATAGATACAGATACACCCACCTACCTTGGTAAAACTGTGGGAATGGCAGTCAGACAGCTCAAACTTAATACATTTAAAAATTAATTATAATTCTTGATCCACCCTGCCTCCTGAGCCTGCAGGCAATCTTATCTTAGTACATGCCAACCTTCTTTACGGTTACTCAGAACAAACACCATGGCCATCTTCCGCTCCTTTCTTTCTCTAAATCCTCATATTTAGTGTTGATATTACCTTCAAAATACATCCCAAATCTGTTACCATCAAACTACCTGCACTACTCTTCCCTGGCACAGTCCACCATGCTCTTTCACCTGGATTACTACAACAGTCCAGACCACCACGCCAGCCCTCTGTAAAATATGCTCAACTCATACCAGGGCAGGTCCCTCCTCTGTTCTCACCCTTTAAATGGCCTCCCATTCGACTGTAGCAGTATACAAAGCTTTAACTGATCTCACCCCTTGCTCACTTCCTGTTCTCATCTCCGGACCCTGTCCCTCTTGTTCACTCCTATCTAGCGATATATGGTTCCTGTTGTTCCTCAAAACTGCCAGACTGCCCCTATCTCAGAACTTAGTTGCTTCTGTTCCTTGTGCTTTTATGGCTACTGAGTCTTCTGTACTGCTATTCCTTTTCTCTTCCCCTAGAGCAGCGTTTCTTGACCTTGCACTATTGAACTTTTGGGCCAGATGCATCGTCATGCAATGCACTGCAGGAAAACTAGCCACAACCCTGCCTCTACCCACAAGATGTGGGTATCGCACTACCCTTTCTTCAACAACCAAAAATGTCTCCAGATATTGCCAAATGCCCACTGGGGAACATGATCAGGCCTCGCTGAGGAGCACTGCCCTACATACATACATCATTTGTTCCCTTTCTCAGGTCTCTGCTCAAACCCCTCCTTCCACCATCATCCTATACAAGATAGAATCATCAAGTTCCCTCATGTTAATTTGTTTCTCTTTTTGGCGATTATTACTATTTAATATCTACATCCAAATTCATCACCTGCCCTCTGACTTAGAACATAACCCAGTGCTTAATTTCATGTCTGACACATGGTAGTTCCTCAACTGGTATTTGTCAAAGAATGAATAAATGCATAAGTAGATACACAGAGTTCAGAGGAAAGCGGGAAGGAGGATCAGGGACAAGACCAGCAGGTCTATATCTTAATACCAGACCCACCTGATCAGACTAAAGAACTATAAAATCAAATTTCTAGAGAAGTTCAAAGTGGAAAGCAGGAAAATTCTGGAAGATGGAAGGTAGAATTTTCAGTCTTGAGTTTGAACTGTGCCAAGTTCAGACAATATTGTGCTCGGGATATGGATATGATGGGAGCAACAGCAAGGGGGTTTCAAACTACCGACAGGAGTCCTGGTCAGATATTCTCTATGCATTTCTTCTCCTCACCCCAACCTATAATCAACTACAGGAACCAACACAGCTCTGTAAATTCCAATACCCAGCACTGATCTAGACAGCACAATGGCTACCTCTTACATTCCTGGAATAAAGAAATGTATTTTGTGTCATTGAGCTTTTAAAAATATTTGCACGAGGGTGCATGCGCTCACCAGAGAAATACACAAAGAGAAAAAGAAAAAGCGAGAAAGTACCCCCATGGGAAACAGTCACACCACAATTCCCAGTCCATTTCTCCCTCTTTGTGAGATTTTGGGCAAGCAACCACATGCACTTCACATGTTTTCTGGGCCTCCATGTTCATGTTTTTCTCAAGCCTCTATGTCCAGAAACTGAAACACAACAACAGCCATGTGAGATTCAGCCACCTTAACCACCACACCACAGGCTGTCCTTTTTGTGTTTAAATATTAATACAATGTATAAAGTCTGCCATTATGTTGGTGAAGAATTCAGAACTTAACATTAAAGTAAAGCTTAAACCTCCAGACAAGAGAGTTCCTAAGAGGTTCTGGAGTAGGGCAGTGGAGAGGGAGAAGTCCCTCAAGCCTTAGTTTATACAATATTTAAGCCTCAAATGCACACCTATAGGTCTGGAGTCAGGGTTTGAGGACAAAAAAAAAAAAGATGAGTGAAAAAAAAAAAACCATAAAAATCACCACTTGAAAGAAAGCAATTTAATTTAACAACCATTAAATAGATATGCAGAGAAAATGACCAATGCATAACTTAGATTCAAGAAAAGGAAACCAACCGTATCATTGCTCTTCAATTACTCCTCTTATCAGCCGGGCTCCCTTTTCATGGCAAGAAACCTCAGCATTTGAGTTCAGAGACTTCAGTAGCTTTGATTTACTACACCAAGGCCCCTGCAAATCTTATCCGCCATGAGCACTCTACATAAACCAACCCCTGCTCCTACCTCTCAGATATTAGCCAAATTGATGCTTTCCTTCTTCCCATGGAATTCAAGCAGAAGTGGGAAGGACGTGGGTTTCTTAAAGGTATATATTACCGTGGGGAATTTAATCACAGAGCTCTATCCCATAAAACAATGTCTTCACTGGAAGCACTGGTAGCAGTGAACTATGACAGTATTGCACACACAGCAATGAACTATTCCAGGCCTGGAGGTCCACAAGAGAAGGAGAGTGATCGTTCCCACAAACTCAGAGGCATATGTACGTTTTTAAAAAATTATTTTATTTAACTTTATTTATTTATTTTAATTTGACCAGAGAGGTATGGAGAGAAAAGGAGAGAGGGAAAGTGAGAAAGCAAGCTGCCAGGCCTGGGACTCAAAAAGCACTCAACCATGTCGTATTCCAATACCTTTAACCATCATGCCACCTTCTGGCCCCCATATGTACTTTCTTTCTGCACAAGAGTGGACAGTAACTCCCACCACTCCCAAAAAGGCAATATTTTAAACTCTAATTGGTCCCCACTCAAACTAGAGAAATTGCTGCTTTGGATTATATCCCAGCATCCCAGTTTAGTTTAATATTATTCCTTTCTTTAACCGATTGAACAACACTTTTTTTATTCCTCTAAATAAGTCACATAGACTGTTTTTGTTTGTATGTTTGCTAGCGGGTTCATTAGAGAGAGCAAGTGAGCTTGAGTAAGCAAGTGCCTGGGGCTATGGCATAATGGGACGTGGCCACAACAATTCTCAATCTTGTCAGGAGGCTGTGTATGCATGTGTTTGTCTCATGTATTTTCGAGTCAATAGAGCCAGGACTCGAACCCTGGTTGGCCATGTGGGATTCAGTTTCCTCTGTGCAGCATGGGGGATGGCCCAGACTCACAGACTTTGAAAGGCACTGGAAATTTATGTTTGAAACTA